ACAATGTCTCTCAAGTTTTTTGGTAGTGTTTTGCCTCGGTACAGTACATGTACTTTTACATTAGCAGCAGAGTTGTGCCAGTTATGTATATAACTCCATTCAGGAAAAAACGTTTAACCAATGGACTGGCCATGTCCAGTTTTCTGGTTTTTCTTCACATTAGTAATACCAAAATAGGAGCCAGCTTTACATAAAATTCTTTCTGGGATGCATCTTCTTTGGCAGAATGCTCACATGTTGCATTGCTGTAACCAAATAAACCAACCTAATTCCAATAAATGCAAAATTTACAAGGAAATACTTAACTACCACAAAACCTTAACATCCAGCTTCTCCGTTGATTTCATCTCCCTTATTAACTCATAAACCCATTGCCCAAACTTTCATCACTGATACTGCTTAAAGATGTTCTAACATTCAGCCAAATTAATAAATGTGCAACTATTTTAAGGCACAAAGTAGGGCTCGAATTCAAGCTAAAGAAGCTTGCAAATATTAGGGATTATTTAAAGATATTTTTTCATATCATTGGTTGGCATTCAAAACCTCGTATCTGCATTTCCTAAAGTTTTACAATAGCTAAAAAAAAAACATGGTTTTTAGGAAGGAAAAGTTTGACTAATTCTCTTTCTGTGCCAATAATTAACTTTTCTATATATTATCATGGTGACATTGCTTCATTGTAGTCTGTGTAATGTGCCCTTTATTCACATGGAATCCTACTGTCAAATATGGCTAAGTATTCTTACATCACAACATTCAAAAGTTTTGTTTACTTACAGGTTAGATGACTTTGTTTAGCTTTACTTTTCCAACCTAGTTTCACTGTTTTTTTTTTTTTTTTTTTTTTTTTTTTTTTTTTTTTTTTTTTTTTTTTTTTTTTTTTTTTTTTTTTTTTTTTTTTTTGTGGAATCACATAAAAGCAATTATTCTCGCATTTTTACAAGATTGTTTTTATTTAAAGAAGTCATACGAAGTCTTTTGGACGTTAAGGTTAGCAACTTCGATCACTTGTGGGGCCACTACAATCCATCCTACACAAAATCACTTTTCAAATATTAATAGTAGAGTAATATTAATTAGTAGTTGTTGACCATCATCTCTTCCAGGAGGAAATCAATGACTATTTTTGATAGAATTAGCTTCATCCCTCTTCTGCAACATTTTCTTCTTCCTATTAGACCCAGCAGTATGGTGGCATTTAAATAGGAAAATTACATAATACTAGATTACCTGCAAGCATAAAATATGTCTTAAGTGGTTTTCCAGGATGTTGAATTTAAATATTTGGTCCATTTTTCACAAAATTTGATTTGCTGGCAGATTACCATTTGATATTCGGCTGTGAATGGTACAGTTCATTAGAGCTAACATAGAAAAAATTATATCTGAATCAATTTAAAATACTGTACCATATTTTCAATTCCTGTATACTTCACCAATAAAATTGTGCCATTTTGTACTATCTGAGAATCACAATAAATATGAAAATAACCAAACTCTTTGTGGTTTTCATTTTAATATTTGTTATATTATAGTATTTGATTTATATAACTACAAAGGTTATCTTACATAAGGGTTTATCACACCAAGTAAACAATCTAATACATTTTAAAAATTCTTTATTCCTTTACTGTACACAAATTAAAGAATTTTTAAAATCTGTTAGATTGGTCACTTAGTATGATTAACCTTTATGTAAAATAACCTTTGTAATTACATAAATCAAATATCATAATCAAAACGAAAACTATATAAAGAGTTTGGTTATTTTAGCTTACTATTGTCATGTTTATCGCGATACCGATGGTACGAAAAGGTACAGTTTCATTGGTCAAGTAGAGGTCAATTGAAAATATGATATCTTAAATTTTTTAAGGTATATATATTTTTTCTAATGTTAGCTGTAACGAACTGTTTTATTCACAGCCGAATATTAAATGGTCATCAGTCATCGAGTCAATTTTCACGAAAAATCGACCAAATATTTAAACTCTGCACCCGGGAAAACCACTTAAAACATATTTTGTGCTCGTTGGTAATCTTGTATTATGAACTTTTCCTATTCGAGTGTCCACCATAACGCTGATCCGATAGAAAGAAGAGGCTGTTGCAGAAGGAGATTGAAATAATTCGATCAAAGGTAGTCGTTGACCTCCTCCCAGAAGAGATGTTCAACAACTACTAATTAACAGCGGTGTACTATTAACATTTGAAAAGTAGTCCGTGTTAGACAGGTTGTGATGGCCCCGCATGTGATCGAAGTTGCTAACCTTAACGTCCGAAAGACGATATGAAACTTGTTTAAATAAAAAAATATTGTAAAAATGCTAGAATAACTCCTTTGACTTAAAGTGTTTAAATTTTCGCAACAGATTGTATAAACTATGTGGGAAGTATGTTCTCGTGAATATTGCGTTTATAGAAAAATTATTGTGCTGCAATTTGAAAAAATTGTAGTTCTACAAATTTCGATTGTCGTTCTCTGTGTCTGCCTCCTTGAGATTATGGAAGGAGTTAGATAGATGAAAGTCGCGACCAGATGTGGAAGCCCACATCTGGTCTCGACTTCGATTAGTTACTTCATATATTTACGAAGTATATACGAAGTAACTAATCGAAGTAACATGACTTCCGTTCCAAACTGGAAGTCACATTACTTCGATTCGAAAATTCTCTTCTGAACGGAGCTAGATAGATGACCAACACGACTCTATTGCTAACAGAAAAAATATGACGTACAGAGACAAGACACCACTAAAAGAATCGAGAACATTGTGACGAAAAGTTACAGTCCGACATTGTGACGATGCCACAATAAATAATCGCTCGTTAGAATTAGTTTAGTGTACTTAGTCACAACAATGCGACATGTGAGTGATCTGACAAGGAGAATGCATCCCAGGGAAACTTTTATGGAAAGTTGGACCCTATTTAGGTGAAGAAAACCCAGAAAACTCTACTTGATCAGCCGTTTGACATGCCCCAACCCACGACTAACTAACTACCAGAGTTTGGTAGTTTTATGCACTCTGCTACTGGAGGACGCTTATTAGAGTTAAGAAAGGACCGTTCAGAATTAAAAAAACCCGAAATTAAATTTACAATCAATACTTTAATTTCGACCAAAATACTTAATTCAACCCTTTAACTTTTGTTATTTATAGGTAAAATTTTATATACAGTATCTAACATTTTAAAACGTTATATTGCTTTCAATGATTTATCAATGCAAAATTATAGCGAAAATTAACAATTAATTTTTGTTAATTTTTTTTCTAAAGATAAAAAACAAATCAACCGAATTTTATAAAACATTCCCTCCGTTAGAGGACGTCAAATGTTAAACGAAGATGGCTGGCGTCAAACGATTGCGTAAGGTAAATTCAAATGTTTGAGTTATATTTACTTTTGCGACGGAAAAAAGTTGATTAAACTAATTTAAAAATTTCAAATATTATTAATTTTTTTCTAAATGAACTTTTATGCTAAATTGATATTTTTTTTAATTTTATGAATAATTTAAGTTGATCAGATTTGGATTCGAATTTTTTAAATTTATTAAACATATTTATACAAAAGGAATTGTTCTAAATATTTGAATATTAATTTAAATATTAAAAACGTTTTTATATATACAGAATCGACTGCGTTACACTATCNACAATGTACAAAACACATGCACTGAAAAAATTAGCAAGTACACAGAACTCGCCCAGGAAATAAGGCATCTGTGGAGGATGGATAGGGTGCTTATTGTACCTGTCGTTCTCTCCTGTACAGGTGTGATACCACACACACTACACAAAAGCCTGGGAACATTAAAATTGAAGAGAAATACATACATCACACTACAGAAGGCCACTATATTGAATACATGCCATATTGTTAGGAAATTTCTGAATACAGACACTGACACAGTTATTTAATTTCAGTTTTGTTTTGTTTGCTATGCCTTGACTCTGGTCCAGCATAGTACACAGCCACCGGTGTGAACTGAGTAACCCACTAAACCCAACATAATAATAATAATAATTTAATTATTACATTATCATTTCAATAACTACAAACTCTCATTATTGTAACTATATAGAAAATAAATATCTTTAAATACATAGAAACCTGAATCAATACAATTTTAATTAAAGTTAATGTTTTCAGAAATTAAAACTAAAACAATTCAGGTTTCTAGATATTTAGTGATTTATTTTCTGTTTAGTTATTTTTAATTTTTATTAGTATGTTATGAAATTTTTTTTATCACAGTTCACTTAATATTTTTTAATATACAAATTATTTTAAAACATTTCTAGCTGTTATAGTTCATTCAGAATGATTCTCTCACTAGCACTAGGATATTCAAATGATCCTCAATAATTTTTTGCAAAATATATATATTGATAAAAGAAAACCCATATGAAGCCTTTACATTTGGAAAAATAAGTGTAGTGTTGTTCCATATTCTTCAATGTAACTGTTACCTTTGAGATGTATTTGAACATATTCAGTGAATTTGTAAATTAGTTGACAGATAATGAATTAACAGAAGGGTTTTTTAGCAAGATAAAACAATGTGCCACACATCTAATGCAAACATGAGGAAAATTGATCATTAGATCTGAGGCCACCTGATTTCTTCTTTTGGGATTATTGGAACAGCAAGTATACAGAAATAATCCTTGAGCAATTGATACTGTCAAAGACATATGATACGATAGGAGGTTTTTGCCAATACTGAAGTCACATTAGCAAATGCCTTTGCAAATTTGCAATTTCACACACAAAAATGCTTAGATGCTAGAGAGACCATTGTCAATACATCTGCTTTAAAAATTATCTTATTTTGCAACATACTGTACAATATAAGTGCAGGTAAATTTTCATAGGAAACCATAAAGCAATAAAAAGTTATTGAGGGATGTTTGTGTTTACTAGTGAGAGAATCACCATGTATACATTAATTTTTATAACTAATTAAACTTTAAACTGTAATTACATACTTTTATCTTCTAATAACTGAGGAAATGTTTTATGACTTGGTCCAACTGCTTCTAAGATGTTATCTTTAAAAATCTTTTGAAGATGTGATATTAAACCTCCAATTCTTTGTATTTCAAAATAATTGATAGAGTTGTCATAAAAAACATTAATGGGAACTGTAAGATCTGAAAATAATTTTATTTACAATATATTATAATATGATAACAATATGTCTATTCTAAAATGATAGTGTATTTGTAACTTTAACAATGTAAATTTAGTTGCATCATCCAAAAATTAAGAATTGGATAAACAATATTTTTTTTAATTTTTTTAATTTATTTTATTTATTTTACATATACTGTACTTGGAAATGCCAAGATAAAAACTAAAGCATCATATCCAACAAGAAAAAAAAATGAAAAATATGAAACATTTTATTAATATTCTACATTTCAAATTGAAAAAACAGAAACCTGAAATAAGAAATTAGCTATTTATCACTGTTTCACATTGTAACTAATCAGTTTAACTTTATTATTATTATTTTCTACATTTTATTAAGATTTTGAAATGTAAAATTTTGAAATATTTTCCTATTCATTCCAGTAGTGAATAAAGTTTACAAGTTTTGCTGAAGACAAGACACAGTTTTAAAAATGTTTCAAAAAAAAGTTCAACAATCTTTCAGTTCAGATTTATTTTTATTCTGTAAAATTTATTTATTTATCTCAAAGTACAGTACAAAATATTTTTCTTAACCCATTTATAATAAAATTATCTTCAACAAACCCTTCTTTATATGTTGAGATTTTATATTTCAAAGAAAGCTTAATACAGTAGAGCATCGTTTATCTGAATTAATTGGGGACTGGGGTTGTTTGGATAACTTATTTTTTGGATAACCGATTATGCACGAAAAAATATACTAACCTATCCCATGTTGAAATTTTCCTCTGTTTCGTGTCGCTTTGCGTTGAATTTTCGTCGATGTTAAGCCTAACGAAAACTTTTAAAAATAATCGTGGCTATTGTATCATTAAAAATTATTTTTTTATTTTGTACAAACAAAATAAATTTATTGAAAAATATAAAAAACAAAAAAATATACTTTAGAAGTTGATCTCGTATCAAAAACGTTTGATTCAGCATTAACACAATCCTCAGAAAAACACACAAAAAGTGCCAGTGCTGCTAGCTAAAACACACACAACAACAAAAAAAATACTGGAGTAGCATAAGATATAGCCAAAGATTGCAGCGCCATCTGCAGCACTAGTGAAAATTTAAATTTGTCGACTGGAATGCTTTCGGATAACTGACTTTTGGATAAACGACGCTCTACTGTAAATGAAGGATTTTTTTATTGTTGACTTTTTACTTTAGTTATAAGGTGTCTTACCTGATACTTTTATTAATTATGTAATAATTACTTTTATTGATAGTTTCTAAAGAACAAAAATTTTAAATATTTCATTTATTCTGAACTTGAAAATAATTCATTATTAATAAACACAACATAAAAATGTATTTTTATTTAAAAATATAATTTGTATATTATTACTAAAACATTGAACATTTTTAAGATCATAATCAAACAGGATTTATAGCAATTTTATAATTTATCTCTAAAAAGTATTTTATAGATATTTCACAAAATAATGTATTATTTTTATCTTTTTGACAAGACTATGTCTTGTTTATAAAATTGTACTGCCCGATGTTCTTACCAGCATAGAGGTATGAAAGAGTACACATCGAGAGTTGATATTTGGCAGAGTATTAGGTGCCCAAATCATTTGCACATAAAAAAGTCCAGACTCGTAGGTAGTCAGGAGACCGAGAATAGAGTCAAATAAAATACAAAATGGCGACCCTCTTCTACAAACAGGCAAAACAGCCACCTCACCCCACCGAAGT